ATAAAATAAAATAAAAATAATAATTGAGGTGGTTAGAATCAAAGAGGTATAAGTAATTGCTCAACATTCTTAGGGTTTAAAACTACTAAATAAAATCATTAAACTATTTTGAAACGATTATTATAAAAAGTTAGGTATATCTAACCGCCCCATAGTGTAGCCATTCTAGGGAATCTCTGGCAATAAATGAAAAAACGAAATATGAAATCAAATAATAATTTTTTATTGGACCTCTTAGGCTTAATACTTATTTTCCTATTTGTATATATATATATAATATAATATATATATATATATATATTATATATATATATATATATATAAATATAAAGTGTGTCTACAGATGGACTTAAGTAGGTAGGTATACTTGTTAAAATATTTATTTAAAATCACGCCTCATAATTTCTTCTGCTTGTTATATAAATACCATTCACGATGAAAAACTTTTATTTTGTTATACAGGGTGCGCAAAAAAATACAATTGTAGATTTTTCAAAATTAAAATTTGTTAAATATATTTTTTTTAAGGTCTAATATGAGGAGTTTGTAAAGAGAAACCAAAGAGACAAATTTTTTCATGTGAGTTGTTGTTACTAAGATATTTGTTATTATTTATTATTCAGGGGGTCCTATTATTTTGTAGAAATTGACTGCTATCTCATTATGTGATTATGAATCAAGGTTGTTGCTTTCAACTGACATGTCTACAATTATTTGTTAAAATTTGAAAAATAATATCTTAAATTTTTAATATCAAATATAAAAAGTCATATGAAAAAACTTCATTTGACTTTTTGATTTCTCCTTATCAGCTCTTTATTTTAGCGCTTAAAAAAAATATTTAAAAATTTTTAATTTTGAAAATCTGTATTTTGTCTCACCCTGTACAAAAAAATTAATATTTCTCAACGCGAATCCTATTTATATAACAAGCAAAAGAAATAATAAATATAAAATATATTTTTACAAGTATAGTTAAGTCCATCCGTGGACACACTGTATATACATACAGGGTGGAAATCTTAACTGGAATAAATTCTGTATTTTGAAAACCACTTACTTTTTTAAAAAATTCAAAAACAGGTCAATTTATAAATTGTGATAAATCTTAAAAATATAAGAAACCACCCTTTGAGGGTGCAACCAACTCTAATTTTTTTTTTCAAATGCAAAGGTATATCAAGTGATACATTATTTGAAAGCTCTTTTTAATAGAAATTTATACAAATATGCAATTTTTAATTATTTTATTTTGGTACCTTAAAGAAATAAATACTTTTTTATATCCACCAAAAACGTTGTATATTCAACCGAAATAATGTATTTTAGTTCTTTAAAATTAGTTGCAAGTAACGTGTTCTAAATTGACCGTAAAAATGTCTTATTTAACTGAAACTTTGCGTATTGAGATTCTAATGATGATTGCATTTGGTGATAGACGTCGAAATCAGACAGAAGTTGCACGATTATTTAACGAAACGCATCCAGAATTGCCTCACATTTGCCAAGGGACTGTTAGTAAAGTAGAAGCAAAATATCACGAAAATGGTCATGTAAGAAATATTCGCCAGCCTATCGTTGAAGACAATACGAAGCTTAATGTACTATTAGCAATCCAAGAAAATCCTGTTACTTCAGCTCGACAAATTGCTCGCGAGAACGATTTGAGCCACACCACTGTAATGAAAAATGCATCCGTATAAGATGCAAGCAGTACAGGAACTAATTGGGGATGATACCGATCGCAGAATTGAATTTTGCGAGCAAATGATGAACCTTATTAATGATAACCAAATTTCTTTGTATTGGATACTATTTTCCGATGAAAGTACGTTTACTTTAAATGGTGAAGTTAATCGTCAAAATTGTAGATATTGGAACGACAGCAATCCTCATTGGATTGAAGAAAATCATACACAGTATCCACAAAAGGTAAATGTTTGGGCTGGAATAATTGGTAATAGAATAATTGGTCCCCCCTTTTTAACGAAACTCTAAATGGCGAAAGGTACTTCACTTTTCTTCAAGAAGATCTTATACCATATTTCGCAGTTCAGTTTCCAAACGAGAATGATCCAGACTTACCAGATAATAGAGTCTGGTTTCAGCAAGATGGAGATCCACCGCACTACGCATTACCCGTTCGTCGATACCTAAATGAAATATTTCCTTATCGGTGGATTGGTAGAAGAGGTGCAGTTGAGTGGCCAGCCCGATCTCCAAACCTTACCCCGTTGGATTTTTTCCTGTGGGGTTACCTTAAAAATAAAGTTTATGTAACCAAACCAACTAATATTGAAGATCTTAAAGAGAGTATCCGACACGAAACTTCTTTAATATTACCTGAGATGTTGGAAAAGGTTAAAAATGAATTTTATAATCGTCTAGGATTTTGTCAAGAAACCAGAGGAGCTCATTTTGAACATCTTTTATAATAAATCCATATTTATCATAAAATAAAGTTTTTATTATTTATAATTGTACAAAAATAAAATAATTAAAAATTGCATATTTGTATGAATTCCTATTAAAACAAGCTTTCAAATGATGTATCACTTGATATACCTTTGCATTTGAAAAAAAAGTTAGGGTTGGTTGACCCTCAAAAGGTTTCTTATATTTTTAAGATTTGCCACAATTTACCAAGGTAAATTTATAAATTGACCTGTATATACCACCCGGTATATATATATATATATACAGTGTGACCCATTTGTTTGCGACTCACCCCTGTAAAATCTTTATTTATTGTGCGATTTTAACCGGATTTGTTTTAAACTGTAGATCTTGATAAACTGTATTTTTGGAGCAAAAGACGCCATATTAATACAAAATACAAGGCCTACTATGTCAGTTTTTAAGAGTAAATTTTTAAGAATTTATATTAGCGATTTTTTTAAACAAAATCTAAGCACGGCACTGGATTCACTACCCCTCAAAAGTACCCTAAACTAAATTTTATTGAAAAATTTTAAGAAAAAAAATGCAGAATGATAATTACAAAAATTTATTTTGTCAAGTTATCCATGAAAAAACATTGAAATAAAATTAAACTTTTAGTAATAGTACCATTTTAATATTAGTTTAATTTTATTTCAATGTTTTTTTCATGGATAACTTGACAAAATAAATTTTTGTGGGTATTTTTGTGCATTTTTTTTCTTAAAATTTTTCAATAAAATTTAGTATAGGATAGTTATTGAGGGGTGGTGAATCCAGTGCCGTGCTTATATTTTGTTTAAAAAAATCGCTAATATGAATTCTTAAAAATTTACTCTTAAAAACTGACATAGTAGGCCTTGTAGTTTGTATTAATATTTTGCTCCAAAAATACAGTTTATCAAGATCTACACTTTAAAACAAATCCGGTTAAAATCGCACAATAAATAAAGATTTTACAGGGGTGAGTCGCAAACAAATGGGTCACACTGTATATGTATATTATTAGAAAAGAAAACAATGCAAAAAATTTATAAAGACACAAATGACACCCAGTATGTCTTAGCTTTTATTTACAAAAATATAAAAAAACTTTATTAGTTGATCAGTTTTTAAGCTCTATAACTTTTTATTACCAAATACTTATTTTAAAATATTAAAAATACCACCCAAAAATTCTATGATTCTCTTGCAAATGTTTATATTTATTTAAAAATGGGTTAATAATAATTATTCGCAATTTTTTTTAGTACTATAGTAGGTATACCATTATGTACTATGGGAAAATTACTCATAATAAATTTTTAAAAAATTGCGAAAAAATAGGAGATAGATAAGTTCTGCGAAGATAATACCTACTGTGTTCTGTGAAGAATACTTTATTGTTAGTGGCTACGAAAAAATGTTCACCTTTCAAAATTTGCCAGCTACAAAAATTTTCCGCCGTGGGCTATAGCCTATCTAGCCTATTATATAAATGCGGGCGTATAATTACAAGATCCGAAAAGTTTCGAAAATATTCTAGTTAAAGGTTCAATTGTTAAATTATATTAATTTTAATAAATTGTACCGAAAATATACTTTAAATACGCAAAGAAATAAATAATCCAAAACCCGTGCCCATTAAACTAAAAAAAGTGTGTATTTTTAAATAACATTCCATTTTATTAAATTCTGACAGGTTTTCAGGGTCCCTGTCCCAGTGTGCGGCAGCGAAAGCTTATTTTAATTGCTTTGCACACAATCTGCTGTGTGCTCTTCTAATGTACTATTACAATATTTTTTTTACATAAAATCCATAAAAAGCTGCAAAAACCAATGACAAATTAAATATAATAAATAAATAATATCAAAATTCTTGAAATAATCTAAGATATTTTAGAGTATGCAAAACTAGGTAGTAAAAGATGACGAGATTTAAAAAAAATGGGCCTGAAATATTAAAACCTATTTAACATTAATTAAGAAGATTGCTAAGCAAAAACTTAATATTCCATTTAAGTATACCAATTCATTTACTTTCTTTATTCAGGTGTCAATTCCGAAAGTTCATTAATCTCGATTTTAAAACGACTTTGACACAATTAACTGACTGTAAAAAACCATAAACATTAATTAATTAAACCTAATAAATTTGTACAATAATTAGGTCTAAAAATAATAATTACCCAATTACCATAAAAAAATTTCGTGAATTTGTAGTTCATAGTGCTCAATGTGTAGTTTATAGCAATTTTGACCTTGAAATCTTAAGGCCAGTTTCAACATATTAAGAGAAGAAAGAAGAAATTAACCGGCTAGTTTTATTTATTTATTTGCGTTCATTTAAGTGTAAAATGTGAAAACGATTTTTTCTTTTCTTGTATACGGTAATACAATAAACCTATACCTGTATGTGTTAAGCTGTGGCTTTAAACTTTGAAAAGAATGGCTATTAAATAGAATAATGTTTGTTCAATACAACACATTTATGTTTAATTTTAACATTTACTTTTACGATAATTATATCTACACCTTATATTTGTTTAAAGAACAAAAGTCTAAACTTTTTTTTGTTACAGAAAAACTTCAAAAACATGAGGAAACGATAACGGAAATCTCAAAACCAAAAACACCTCCAAAATCCATGAGCATGCTAGCTGAAGATATGGATCAAATATTCCAACCGACTCCAGTTCCAAAAACCACCACCAACAACTCTACAAGTAGTGCCAACTTAACGACAAGTGAAGAACCCAAAGGAAGAGCGCTAAACTTTACCATGGAGGAACAATCGGGAGGAAATGTTTTGTCCCAAAATGTTAGTCATGACGAATTTGGCGACCTTAGTGATGTTTCGATAAGCAATGAAGATGATGAGGAAATAAAGCCGAAAGTTGAGAAGAAAATGTTGGTTGAAAAAGAGAAATTAAGCAATAAAACAATGGGTAAGGGCTTTTTAAATATTTCCATTGAAATAACAAAACAATCAAATAACATTTCCTTTCAAAACAAAAGGTATATTTTTTGCCAGGTGACATTTATTTTAATTGCCTTAAAATACAACATTAATTTTTTATTTTAGTAATTCCCAAAATTTTACCTTTCGTGTCCATGAACTATAAAAACATTATTTCTCATTCCAAATCAAAAATTTTGGTATTGTTGCAAAGCTGAGGTTATAAACTATTATAAAAAAATGTTTGGTAAACATTATTTTGTTCATGACTTAAATATACCAAATTCCTCGACCGTCCTATGTCCCAAAACGTTTTTCAACTTTCTCTGTAACTAAAAGTAACTACCTAAATAAAATACAATTAGGGGAGGCGGGAGGAATTGAAGCCACCTAAAGAAATATAATTTCGAACATGACAATATTAGCCTTCATTCATATTTAAATAAATAAATATAAAGCTTTACATGTATTGATCATTTATATGTAAAGCAAATTAAAAAAAAACTGACTATAATGGAATTTATAAAAAAACGAAAAAAATGCATTTGGGTCCCATTACCCAATCACGCGGGTAATTGGAGCCACCGTTGTTTTAATAGTTAAAGTAAGAATACTGGCTTGCGCAGGCATAGGGACAAACTTAAACTAGAGAAAAGATAAACAATAGCAATAATTATTTATATTTATTTAAAAAAAAATGGTAAAAATATGCTCAATCCGAGGTTCCACCCTAGTTCTTTCTGTCTAAAGAAAAAATACAAACATATACTTTAGCGTCCTCTGCATCCTAACATTCAGAAGGTGCCATGTTGCCATGGTGGCTAAACAAAAATCACAAACATATCCTTTAGCGTCCTCAGCATCCGAACATTCATAATGCTCAAAGTAGATTTTTTCTCTAAAATGTTTGGAATAAAAAAGCATAATTTAACAGAAAATCAGGTATGATTTAATAAAACCACATAATTTTTTTGAGGCTACAATAATAAAATAATTTGAAATAGACCAAAGTTAGTATTACTTACCACGCGCTAGTAATTTGCACTTGTCACTCTAAAAGACTATAAGAAATTTACAGAACTCAGGGCAGAGCCCTGCACGGGCCGAATTTTTCAGGCCCGGTCCAGCACGGGCCCGAAACTCAGTCACTATAGCCTGGCTTGGGGGGTCAATCCCGAGCCCTTTTTTCAATCCCGGGAGCCCGGGATCAGTCCCGAAAAAATATATATCATTAATTTTAAAAGCAATTTAAAATAAAGGAACAAACAAATCAACGAACTATATCTTTCGGACGTTACACCAGTTGGAGGAATGGTTTTCAAGAATTCGTAGGCACATTGTACCCACGCTTACCTCCATGAACAAATAATTCCATTTCTTTTATCAATCGGGCCTTGGTGAGTTCCAATTGGGGCTGTAACTTACATTTAAATTATCAAGTTTGTGACATTCTTTCAGGTTTAACGTTTGAAATATTTTATATTTTAGGTTATGTACATGAATTTATTCTACAGTGACCTGTAATTTTCTTTGCTGATTTTATGTTAAACGCGATAGATGGAACCACTCTTGCTATGTAATTTCAATGTTTTTCATTATTGTAGGCGTTGTATAATAATTATTAAAGAAATACTTTATTTTTGTACACAGTTCAAAAGTCAAATTATAATTTGACTTTTGAACTGCGTACAAAAATAAAGTATTTCTATATATGGTTATGAGTATTTTAATATAAAAATTGTCATACGCTTGAAAAAAAAATATATTTTATTCTTTGTATCTTATTACTAAGATCCCGGTATTGGGACTTTTGTATCATGATACCGGGATTTTCGGGACCGGATTTTTTACGGCTCGGCCCGGTCAATAAATTATTAGGCCCGGTCCGGCCCGGCCCGATTCTATTTTATATAGACCGGCCATTTAATAACAATTTTTAGCCGTACTAAAGCTAAAAGAGAACATGTTGGATTAGGGTGCTTCATTTAAAACGAACATTTTTTTTCTTCCCGCTGACACATGAAAATTTTGTTCCTTGTATCGAAAAAAAAATTCCCTGAAAATTTGAGCCCTTAATTTTAATTTTCAGTGGTTCCTCTCGATCGATGTATATTTCCCATTGAAATAACATGTAAATCATGATTTTTTAAATTAAAATTAACATAGCTCTGTTTGATTTCATGGTATTTCATTGCGATTAGTCAGAATTTGTAGTATATTAGTGACTCTTTGAAAGTGCCCACCAACATTTTTTTGTCCTTGAACCCGTCTCATCGGTCTCGGCCTCGAAACCCCAATTTTCTCAAAAATTGTTATATTTTCGATTTTATCAACAAAACAGTTGAACTTATGAAAAAAATGATCAGAAAATAATTTGTAGGAAATTAAATTTCCTACAAAAATATCCCTGTATGAATTTTCTGAGGTCCATAGTCCAAAAGGTATAAACAGTTTAATGTATTAAAATCTAAATAATAATAATGCTGTAAATAGAAACAGAAATTACAGGTGTAAAAAATGATTTTTTTAATTTTAATTGTTTCTAAATCTAATTTTGGTATATTTTTATACTAAGAACAAAATAAAATATTTTACACTCAATAAATATCAGAAATTCACATGAGACATTCTACTCTTGAAGATAAGGCGATGAAAAAAAATTTTTAACATCTCTTCCCATTATTACCGATCTTTTTTTTTTTTTTAAAAGTTGAATGAGGTTAACTTTGTTAAACAAAAGTGTAAGTTGAAAAATCATACAATAAAAATTAAAATTTCATATTTTTTTTAGATTTTAATACATTAAACTGTTTATACCTTTTGGACTATGGACCTCAGAAAATTCATACAGGGATATTTTTGTAGGAAATTTAATTTCCTACAAATTATTTTCTGATCATTTTTTTCATAAGTTCAACTGTTTTGTTGATAAAAACGAAAATATAACAATTTTTGAGAAAATTGGGGTTTCGAGGCCGAGACCGATGAGACGGGTTCAAGGACAAAAAAATGTTGGTGGGCACTTTCAAAGAGTCACTAATATACTACAAATTCTGACTAATCGCAATGAAATACCATGAAATCAAACGGAGCTATGTTAATTTTAATTAAAAAAATCATGATTTACATGTTATTTCAATGGGAAATATACATCGATCGAGAGGAACCACTGAAAATTAAAATTAAGGGCTCAAATTTTCAGGGAATTTTTTTTTCGATACAAGGAACAAAATTTTCATGTGTCAGCGGGAAAAAAAAAATGTTCGTTTCAAATGAAGCACCCTAATGTTGGATATAATAATTATTCCCATAATATGTTATTATGCAGTGCTCTTCTACAATATTCATTTGAAATATATATTTTTCAATTTTTCGTTTAATAAAACGTTTCAAACTTCACATACAATCTATAAAAAAAGATAAACTTTACAATATCAATGTTGAACAATAAGCTAAAAGATTGGATCTTCTTTACTATTATAATAATATTATAGTGTATATAATAATTTTATATTATAATAATATAATATAAATCAAGTATAATAATTATATTTTATTAATAATAATAATAATATCCCTATTTAGGCCGCCCCGGCCCGATTTAAAAAAATAGCGATTCGGCCCGGCCCGGCCCTTGCAGGGTTCTATGTCAGGGTGCCTGCAGAGATCAAGGTCAAGTGTAGGAAGCGTTAAGAAGTTCAACTTAAAACGCCATATTCCAACTTCTTAACGCTTCCTACGATTGACCTTGATCTCTTTCAACACGTAATAACTTTTTCGATTATTTTTAAAAATGGCTCTAAAACCTGTCCAGAAATATTGGTTTCCAGTCCACCTATACTATTTGTTAGAGCTGTGTAAAATCAAAAAACGTTATCCGGAATTTTGTTCGAAGGAAAATTATTCGAATAGTCCAGTCATCTAGGCATTTCACCTCGGAATAAGCTGAATTTTTGTACAAACCTTTACTTTACCATTACAAATGTTGTCTCAAAAGTCACATATGCCAACGTGAGCGGCCTTAGATATTCAAGGTCAAAGTCGCAAAAATCAATTTTTTGAGAATATCTCGTTTTCTCTGCCTCCTATCGTATTTGCATTTATTATGAAAGTTGTAGAGAATAAAATTCTCTACAAATTTTGTTGGGGCGGGGTCGGTTGGGTTGGGTTGTTAAGTTTGGGTTGGTTTCGCTCACTTGCCCATTTTAGTGTACCTGCATAACCAAGATGACAGCTAATCGTCATAACCTCAAATTACCTGATTTTAAAAATTGCATTTTCCGCAATTTATGACGTTGTTTTTCATAATTCACGTTTTTCACTTCCACTTTCAAATTCTACGTCTATTAGATACGTGTTTTTGGCTCGCTGCATGTTCTTTTTGACAGAAAATCACGGTTATTAGCCCCTTTTTTATTAATTACGCGATAATTATACAACTTTTTCACCCTGCGCCGATTGTTTATGCACTTTTACATCCCTCCACACCTATTTTTGACATTTTGGCAACTTTCCTGCTGTTTTTCGGAAAAGTCGCTAAAGTGAAAATTTACCTAACAATTTAATATCTTATATAAATTTTTATAATTCTTTTAAATCAAATAGTCATTTAATATTACTTACCTTTATCATACAAATAATTAAATAATGAAGTGAATCATTCTAATTAATGATAAATGCATTTTAAGAAGAAAATACATTAAATGAATTTGCCTTCAATATTTTATCACTGGTCATCTCTTGGATCCAGATATTGCTTTTAAAATAACAGACCTGGAAATACTATAGTGGGCTTGCTATAAATAAAAAGGTTAGGTATACCATAGACAAGGGATTGGTTGGGTGGGCGGGGGGTATACCCTGGCGCGGTCTAGGGTTATACCTAACCTTTTTATTTAAAGCAAGTTTTGACAGATAATATTCGTAATATTTTAAAGGTTAACATGGCTGATTTGTGTTTTATTTGTAATATTACTTTCTGAAGGAGAT